AATTTATGAAAATACAGTTAATTAACTCGGCTAGCCGCAAGGCACAAAGAGTTGCCAAGCGTAAAGCAGTAATTACATAAGTATATATACATACATATATATATATATATATCCTATACCTTTATACATTTGAATATGTAGAGGCTTTAAGAAATATGCTTCAATTAAAGAATATTTACTCGCTTTGTAATATAGTTAATTATAAACATTTTTTTGCGGTCAGCTGAGGAAGAGAAAATTAATGAAATACGTATTGGTACATAAATTTTAAATTACTATGAAATAATTTTGCTGAAGTTCATATGCTCTACATTGACTACGAATAAAAGGTTTATGCATACAGATAAATCTTATATAAACACTCAGTATTTCAATCGTTATTCTACAATTTTGTGATAATAGACAATTTATTTTGACTTTTTACCAGCAATATTAAAGAATTATATAGCTGCTTTTGCAATATTTGAATATTATGTTAACTAATAACAAATTATATTAAGTATCTCTAGCGTTTTAAGAACCTTTGATAAATGTTTTTGCTATAACATTATACTTCAAAGGTCTACCGAGTGTATAAATATAACCGCTAGAGCCATATTTTCTTATAAAATTCTTAGAGATGCATTGCTCATTTAAAAATATACAAATTATTAACAGTGACAGATCTTCTGTAGAACTCCTGACGTTCCAGTTATGCTACAAGGAATTTTTGCTATTATTATATATATAATATATATTATTAGAGAGAGATAGAGAGAGGTTTGGTTAAGCGGTCGTTTCTAACAGAAATCTCTCTGGGCTTAGAACGCCGGTCCCCGGCTGGTATCATCCCTTAAAACTCCCCTATAATGGATTATAAGACTCTTATAAATCGACAAAACGCTTTGAGCCCAAATTTGTTAAGACGGCTAATGTCAGTTATGGTTATGTCTCCTGGTTCGCTTAAGATAAGACTACCGCATGATTGCCTATTGGACAGTGTCCAGTAAGAATCTTTACGATTACGGCAAGATGCACTTTGCTAAGGGCAAGTAGTTCAATAATTGTCCAGCGTTCTACACTAGGCCAAAAGAATCTTGTAGTCGCACAGCAGCTGGTCGTTGCAAGGGTGCTGCCTCTGTCTAGCAGTTGCCACCGATTTTACTGCGACCTGGCACCCAAACGCGTCTGATGATGAGGTAGCTTGATGCTATTTCTAGTGAGCACAGAGGCTCCTCGACCAGCTTTGAGCGTATAGTGAAGAGCAGGCGCTTCTACCTGAAAAACATTACTATGTTTATGAAGGGCTCTTACAAAAAACTCGCATCCAACCTTGTCTCCTTACTTTGATCCATCCGTTAAATACTTACTGCACTTCTTCTACAGCGACACATATTCATCGTCGGTATGTGAGCAGAGTAAGTGCCGCCACGAGTGGCCTCTGCGACGCACTGATCCAAGCTTTCAGGAATGCAATTAAAGCAGGATAGAATTTCAGCATATCCTTGTTCTCACCTCTGCATTACACCAGCCAGCAATGACCACGGGTACTGTGTTTAAAAGGGCATTAGGTGTTATTTTTGGTGTAGTCAGTAGTGCCCCGGAGATGCCGATGAGAGCCGCTCTTTGAACACGTTCAAGATTTTTAGCCAGTGTAGCCCTTCCTAGGGCCTCCTAGGGCCCTCCAACAGACGATTACATCATAGAACATTATTGGCTTGACTACGGTTTTGTCGAGCCAAAACACCAGCTTTGGTAAGAGTTTTCATCTTTTCACTCTAAAGCAATATAAGGCAACCAATGCCCTGCTTACTCTTCATCCTCTATTAGTGATACCATTTTCTATTTATCAGAGTGTAAATTTTAGCTCCTCAGTTTTTAAGAAACAGTGCTGAAATATGTTATTTTCTCTAAAAAGTCGCACCACTTTTACTGATCGTGTTCTCTTTGTTATTAATCCAGTGCCACACAAGTCTGAGCAGTCACATTCCATAATGTTTGGACACTTAAGAAGTGAGTGAATAATCTTCCGTAGTTTAGGTTCTCCCACATCCTAACAAATTCAAAGTCAAACTCACTTTGAGAATCAAAGAAGAAAGTTACGATTTCTCATACTCCCTAAACCAACACCCAACACTAAGTGAAAGGTTTTTGTAATAAGTACACATTTTTTGTAGTTTTGAAAAGAAAATTTTATGGCGACAATTTAACATAAATTGCAAAACCTCTTAATGAAATAGTTTTCCAAATTCAATTCACTCAAAACTTTAATGCAATTAACTCAAACAATAAACGCATTCAAAGGAAACAATTATTTTAAGTAATAATCTCAAGTTAGCTCATTTACGAATTAAATGAACGCAATTGTTTCAATTTAAATTAAAATTAATTGGAATAAGCGAATTGCGCTTGACACACACACATAAATACATACATACATTAACACACTTCTACTCATGGGCACTAATTTTGTGAAGCTTTTCGAAACTTTTAAATAGCTTTCCAAATCAACGCCAAAATTGTTTGGCTCCACAAAACACAAACAAAAATAATTTTATTAGATATCTGTATGTATGAGCGTGTGTGTGTGCAATTTCTTAGCATTACAATACTTTTGCCAATTTGCCGTTTATCTAATTTCCGACACATTTGCCAAAGACAAAATGAATGCTATTAATTTATCAAAATTGGTTTTTCACTATATTAGATTATTTCTATTTATATTATACTAATTTAATTTCTGCAAACAATTTTATATAAATTATTGTACTTTGAAGAACTTTACATATAAAAAGTTTAAAGAAAATTCACTTTTGGGTTTACTAACAGTTGCATAATAAAATTTTGATTATATTTATAATAAAAATATATACCATATACAAGCATTAGCATAAAAAAATATATTTTTTTTATAAATACACTGTGCAACACACATATTCAGCGATTGGGAAATACAAAAGCACAAAAACCGCAAAAATTTTTTGAAAATATTTAGAAATTGGAATGTTTTTTTTCGAAAATTTGTTTCAAAATGCATTCAAAATTAACGTGAAATTAATATTTCTGAGCTATTGTATACATTAAGAATCCAATATGAAATTTTGCAAGGAAATATTTTTACAAATTAAAACCCTACAGCAAGATTTCCTTTCCGATTTAGGAGTTAAAGTTACTCGAAAATAAGACAAATTCCTCCAATGTGGTAGCATAATTCAAAACCTTAAAAAGTTGGCTTACTTGTAACAGTTTTTCAAATAAATACATATCTAAATGAAAGTCGTCGTTGATACCCAGCAATACCTAATGGATACCCAGCGGAAGAAGAATTGCAATATACTAACATAAAAGTTTACATTAATATTTTTTATAAGCTCACCTGAGACCTGAATATCCATGAAACTCTATCGAATTACAACTTCACAACAAACTCATGCCTTTTCCTCAGTCCTTCATATACCATCAAAAGTGGCGATTTTTGCAAAGTCAAACTATTGACCTGTGAGGAAGATATAAGAAAGAGACAGACGACTGTGAATGTTTATTAGAATCCGATCTGTCAAAAATATTGCAAAAAGAGGCGTCACACTACATGCCCTTGGATGAAAGCTCGTATTTGGCAAATTAAGGGGATTGTTGCAGCATAAGTATCAGCTGAGTATCTGCAAAAAAACAACAGTGTCGCAATATAGCTGGAGTTATTTGCTTGCCAGGGGATGTTTCCTAATTAATTGATTTGAACTAAATTGTTTACCGAAGTTTTCGTGATACCCTGAACTTCCGCCTATACGCTATTGTCACTCCTATCATCTTACTCATCTTTCCAAAATATAAACAAATAAAGTAGCTAGACAGGTATCGATTGTAAATCTAGATAACAGATATACAAAATTTTGCTGATCAAATATGACCCGGACTGGACCATATAAACTGTGCACTTAAATCGAATCGGTATGAAATTCTTTTCATATTTTTTATGATCCTTCGTTTGAAGTTTGATCTCTATATGTGATTAGTGTGTGTTTGGCAGCAATTTTTTTACGCCATGTTTAAATTTTGTGGTTCCAATGTAATCACGGCTACGGAGTCGTTGAAAGTGTTGCAGAAGATTTTGGGTAGTCTACCTTATCTCCGACACAAGTACTGGCGTGGCACAAAATATTGAGGGAAGTTCGTGATTGCAACGAAAACCTGTCTCTTGCGAGTCGTCCCTCCAACTCTGTTAATGACGATATCATCGAAAAAATCAAAAAAACAGTGCTTGAAAATCATTATATATATGATACATATATTATATATAGATAGCAGAGAAACTCAACGTCTCTTATCTCAACACAACACATTTTGGTTAATGTTTTGGGTATGAAGCGTGTAAATACTAGACTCATACTAAAAAACCTGAACCTTTTCTAAAAACAACGTTAAGTAGAGATCGCAAACGGGATGCTTGACAATGTAGCTGAGGACCCTACATTAATCAGTCGTAACAATATTGGTGACGAAATGTGGGTTTATGAATATGACGTCGAAGCTGTCCAACAATCTAGCGAATAGCTCTCTGTAAATGAAACGAAACCGAAAAAACAAAATTCGTTGAAGGCACTGAAGGTCAAACCAGTCGAAACTTATAGACATAACAAGAGCATGGAAAATTAAGTTAAAAGTTGGCATGCTTGTATTGGCACAAAAGAAGCCAATTATGAAGGCGACAATAAATATTTGTATTGAAATACTTGAAAATGTTTTTTTATTATGTCAGTCCAGATTAAATTTGAATAGATAGTAAGTTGATATCAGACACTTGCTGTTGATTTCATAATGGATTTCTTGAATAATAAGTCTTATCTATATCTACCCATAACAACCATATACTGGAAATATAAAAAAAAAACGGTAAACCAAAAAAATAAACGCAGTCATCATATTAAGCTTAGTAAAACTAAAGATTTGTTTGATGTTGTAGAGAAGAAATCAAGAAAATTGCTTTATTTAATAAATGCATAACAATTCAATTTCAAAAATTCACCGAAAATGCAAACGTAATGACAATACTGGCAAAAAATTGAACTTGGACGCTATGACGACAGACATATTCATAGCTGGCCACGTAACGGCGTAACAATAGGAGGCATTGGCAAGGTAGGTACACACACACACTTACATATGTATATCATATAAACACAAAGGTATAAATTGATTATGCGATACACAAATACATACACACACACACATATTTGCAATTAAAGGCAATGAAGCTTAAAATTACCACACGCAGCGTGCAACCGCAGCAACCGAATAGCAATGATAACATGCCGCCTCACCAAGTGTGTGAGCGTGTATGTTTATGTATTGATTTGTGTTTCTATGTGTGTGTATGCGTATGCTGGCGAGCCCTTTAGCAGCTTAAAGCCCATAACTCAAGCACAAACTCATACATGCTTAACGCCAAAAGCTGCCATGGCGGCTACAAATGCGCTGAGGAAGCGCAAACACACGCATACATACATAAGCATCTATATAAAGTGCCCACCATACTGCAGCGCTGCTCAGCGCAATCATAAATAAGCTGAAATACAGATTTGCGAATGGACTTTGGTGGTGGATGGGGATCGGCATCATTTGATATACCTAAAAGTCCAATTCTCTCGACCGACCAATTTGAGCTCATGAGAGTTTGCTTTTACTTGTGCATGTGTGTATTTGTGTGCGTGCGTGGGCTGCGCTGCATGCGATTACAAATCTCCACTTGCATTTATTATCCGGCAGGTGCGCGCGCGTGCAAGGACTAAGCGGTGGTCAAAGCGACAGGCACGCGATGGTGGTGAGGAGCGATGCTGATATAGATATATATATATATATATATATATGTATGTGTGATTTTTCTGCGTTCGCAGGTATTCATTATTTAACTTATACATATAAATGTATGTATATATGTGTGTGTACTCGGTTCTTTGTATGTTTGTTCTGCCACCGCCACCTTTACCTTTGCCTTTGCTAACGCTTAGTCGTAGCCACTCTAAATTGCATATAAACTTTATTATCCTGTGACAGTTTTATATTCAATAGAAAGTGCCCTCGCACACACACACACGCACACTCAGAACAAACGAAATTACACTCCAATCTCCATCATTGCAACCACTCTACGCCCTATCTCTCTCTCTCTCCCTCTCCCACCGCTATTGTATGGACTACCTGTGCAATTATCGTAGGATTTGCGTTGACTTGCCAATGTTATTATAGTCTTTTGTTCTACGATTTATGCTCATAAACACAAATACACTCACGCAGCGCAAGAAAAGACCATAGACTCGCTATGTTTGTATACACATATGTATATGTGTGTGTGTGCTTGCAGCAACTTTAAATGCTTTCCAATGCATTTCATGAATTAGTTTGGATTTATATACGCACACATTCACACATTTACACATACATACATATATAGATTCGTGCAATGCGATTAGGTCGGCTTTTAGGCGCACACACTTACTTGTACACATGCCACACTAACGACAAGCGCATATGGTTACTTTGTTTGTTGCAAAAAAAATTATTTCTGGCTTTTAGGCTTAGTAAATTTCGCCATGGCAATGCATTTGCCTAGTTAGTTTTATACTATTTGCAATATTTTACAAAGCGAGCAAAAGAAAGGGATTTGTGTTGTGGGTCATAACAGGCCTGCGGAGCATCAAATCTAATTAAAACGGTTTATATGAAACTAAAATCATATTAAGAAGCATTTGTAAGCGATTATTGCTGGACATTTGTTTAATATTACTTTTAGAAAAGGCTCAAGAATGCCGTGAATGAAAGCTTAAATGAGGGCCTTTTGCGTTTGTAACTGTATTGGTTACGGATCTGGCTTCTGTATATTTGTAATAGACTGCATTTTCGAACTACGCTTAAAAAAGCTTTACTCTTTTATGCAAAGCCCAAAACCGCATGAAAAGCGTTATTTTGAGGTTATGTTTTTTAAAGACTTCCGTTTCGGTATTCCGATTTGGAAATCTTGAATTTGTTGTTGAAAAAAAGTTCGATTGGAAGTCATGGTTTTTTAGTTTTTTATAATATAATATATCACCCTTAAATTGGAAAAGCTTTATTTCGGGAAGCTAGTTTATATATTTTTCTTTGCAGCTTTTTCGCAGACCAAGCTCTCACTAAATTCTCTTTCCTGAGCGATTACTAACTAACTATCTTCAGCGTATTGCAGAAAATAATTACGCTTCAAACTTAGCAGAGTAGTGCCAGTAGTTTGCAGAGCTTTTACATATTCTTTTAAGCTTAGACAATATTTTTCTATCGCACTTTCCAAAAGACACAGACTTTCAAGGAACTCTTACAAGAACTCTTATATTGTGTTGAGGCTCAAAACTAACTCAAAACCTTTTGGAGTTTTCGGAGCACCAAATCACCTTCGCTGAATCTCCACGCTGGCATCATCCTTGACTGCTTCGAACATATAGTCTCTAGCTACTATCTCATTCTCTTTCTTATTTCTACTGATAGACAGCATATATTTTCCATCGCCCTCATAAACTGCCGACCTCTCCAGAGCCACAAATGCTTCGAACACATACTGCTAGCTATATCTCATTCTAGTCTACAAGTATGTCGTCGACACAGGTTACAAGCTGGACATAGTGATAAAACGTCGTGCCCGCCAGCTGAATATCTGCTCTACAAAAGATACACTTGATGACGAAGTTGAAGGGGTTCCCCGAAAAGGGTTAAAGTCCTTATCGGGCAGTCAAAGGCTGACTTGTAATCGATGAAGAAATATTCTCGGGACTCGTTAGCCAATAAAAATATTATCGGGTATATATTAGACGAATATAACGTTTGGACAATAATTAGCTCGCAATTTTTTTTATTTTTTTAATAAAAATAGATGTTTGGTCGAAACTATCTTAAAATGTTGAGCCAAACCAAAGACAAGGTGTTGCTTGATTATTTAAATTAAACATTGGCGGACTTGAATTTTATGGATTTGCTCTCTTTTCCTCGTTGATTTACTTGTATAGGCCTTAGTTATATTTCTAAAGCATTTCGGTCCTAATCACTTCATTTATAAAGGTCAAGAATAGAGTTGATTTAATATTTCGTTTTCTAATAACAAAACGGCGAATTCACAAAGATTGTTATCAAACACTAAGCCATCTATCATACTTACCCACTCAATGCCCCAAATGCGCTTTGATGACATCCGAAAATCGACTTAATTGCTTATGTTATTGGCCATAACAAATATTATATGCCTACATACTCATATAAACATGTGTTCATACTCACATAGATAGATTCTATCTATACTCACATAGGTTCATAAGAATACATTTCTAGATATGCATGGAACAAAGTCATGTATACAAAACTATATGAGGTTTGAAGTCACGACAGATGTGTAAAAAGGCCTGTCTGAGTACTAACAAAACAATTACGCATTATATTAAAATAACAAAGACAAGTTCAGATGAAAAGTAAAATATAAACAAAAGAATATTTGAAATTTTGTAACTAGTTCGTGACTGGTTGCATTTTCACTAGTTGAAAATTTTTTTTATATTTTGAATTATTATTATTCAAAGAAAAAAATAATGTTGTTCGGTATCAATTTACTTTCCCTCCACACTCCAAATCACACTATTTTAAGTGTGTTTAGTTACAGATTCGCATTTTTCCAAATGGTAAGAATGGCTTGAAGTACGGCGACAAGTTGATTGAATTTGATAGTCTTCCAATGAGTCAGCTGTTAAAATGTTATCCACTGAGAAATCTAAAAATATAGAAGAAAAATGTCCTAACAATGAACGCCTAACGTAGAAAGCTTCTCGACTAATATCAGAATCTTCGTGTTGACTTAGAACTATTAGAGGTTCATCCATATGTTAGATAATGTCAAGCAAAATAAAAAGAAGAAAGAGTTCGACTTAACAACTAAACTAGAAAAACACAAATTCTTCTATATTAAAATTATCTAATGAGTATTGAAGCTCTCCAAAATATTAGACCGACAAAATGTCAATACTTTTTAAGAAGAGCGCTCTCACAAATGTAGTATTTATTAATAGTTCCGTCTTCATTTACGAACAATTACTACAAAACCAGTTGATTTCATCGCTGAGTATATGTGAAAGTTCAAACGAGAAACGTTAAAGGCGATGTCAATGAGCTGGTTTGGAAGATCCGCCTAAGATATATACTTACTTGCCACTAGTCCTACACAAGATTCATTGTTTATGCTTACATATCTATGCTAAATGTATGTATATATATGTATATGTGTGTATGTATGTATGTGTGTATATATGTAGGCACATTCATAAACAAAACCAATAATTCCAAACAAACGTCACAAGCACTGATGCGTCGAACCGCCTCAAACGGAAGCCGCAGCGAGCAAATACAAATACAAACACAAATATGGTATCTACTAAGCGAACGCAAGTGAATGAATGATACTACCGCTTTTGTTATTATTATTGTTGTTGTTGTAACTCTTGGTTAGCTGATTGTTTGTCTTCATTGCCGTTTGCGGCTGCATTTCGCTTTGATCTACAGTGGAAGCAAATCAACATTCTGCGTAAACACATAACGGTCTAGTGCCCCGCATCGCGGCGTGTAATGCGGACGAAAATTGAATTCAAATACCAGCAATTTTTGTGAATTTTTGTGGGTCAAAGTGGTTGTATTTTTGACAGCAACGCTGGGTTTACCCTTTGTTCTTAAAGGGTTGTCGCATCCTCTTTGCTGGTGTCCCATAGTGAATGCATTAATAGATGTTTTTTTTCGTTAATCCTTATATGATAATGCTCAAAGTTCAACCCTTTCTTATTAGACGTCATACTTTTTATAGGTAGGCTAAGCAAAGAGAGCTTTCTTTGAATATCTAGTGCTTGCCGAGTGAAAGATCAAAACTAATTCAAAGGAAATGTCTAAAAGTATGAGCTTCCGCGTGTTTAAGCCTCGATCGCGCAAAGGCGGAACAGTCAAGAAGAAAGTGTTGAGTGTGTTTCTGCTCGCATTCTACCAAACAGCTTCCACAGCTGAGATCCGGTAAGATCCTAAATTTACAGCGTGGAATCCGACAAAGCAACGATCAGTTAGAACCCCAAATCTTTAGAGAGAGGCCA